TTTTTTATTGAAATAATAGGAAGAGAGGAAGACTCAGAGAAGAATTCTAAAGAAGACTGCCATTTAAGAGATGGGCAAAGAATGAAGTAGCCCAGAGGAAAACCACAGAAGAAAGAAAATAAGGAGAAAAATAAGTGTGATGTGATAACAAAGGATAAAGGATATTCAAGGAAGGATTGATCCACAGTGTCAAATGCTGTTGAGAAATCAAATACAATAAAAATTTAGAATACTCATAGTGGGTTTGAGGAAAAATTGGAAGCGAGGGGAGGGACAGTAGATATAAACAATTTTTTTCGTGAGTTTGATTATGGATGAGAAGAGAGACAAGTCATCAAGGAGTATGGGGTTGATGGAGGATTTTTTTTTCTTGCGAATGAGACAGTTCTGAGCATACTTACAATGGTGTGAATGACCCGGAAGAGATCCTGAGACTGGGAGGAAAATTGGGTTGACAGCATATTTGAGGGATCATGGATTCTAACTATCAGGTTCAGACATGTGAAATTGCCATTTGTGTAGGTCAAAAGTGGTCATATATTGACACTTTCATATGGATCAACCTAATAGACTGGAGAGCTTGGACACATTGTAGGCATCCTCTGAAGAGTATGAATAGATATAGGTAGATTTGTTGGTTTGATGTCAGGAAGTTGAAGGAATTCTCATCTAATTGATCAATCACATTATCTCTTTGAAGTAGTAGAAACATGAGAGGGCAGGTGGTGAGAATTGGAAATTTGAGGAGGCTGGAGGAGTTGAAAATAGTCATCGTGGAAAATGGGAGTATAGACTAAGGACATGTAGTAGGAATTGTGGGTAGAGTTGAAGGCTCAGATGAATTGGCACCTCTTGCACATTTGTGAGATTTTCTGTGGCATTCCTCAGTGGTCTGGGCAGAGGTGAACCATTGTTCAGATAGTTATATTCTCTCTAGAATTCATCCAGATATGAATGATAACAGAAATATGGGACAAGAGAATTTAGTGGAGTTTAAGACATCATTAAAAAATTTGTTGAAATGATGAACATAAGGATCACAAGAGAAACAAAGATGTGTGTGTGTGTGTGTGTGTGTGTATATATTTGGTGGGGGTGACAACTGATGGGTATGACTAAATCATAGATTAGAAGAGCCAATGAATAAAAAAAAAAAAACTTGATGCATTAGAAGGTTAGGATAGTGGTAATTGTTCAAAGTTATGAGTCAGAGAGAGTAATTTCAAGTCATGACCAAGTCTAGGGTGTGGACATGAGAGTAGTATTTGAAGACGTTATAGAGATGAGATCAAGGAAATAAATGACTAGGATATTGGAGATCAACCACATGGGCACCGATACCACTTAGGGTAAATGCAAAACTTAAAGTAGAGAATGAGATAGGGAAGCAAGAGTCAGTCTTCAATAAATGGAGGGCATCATCATGGGTTCATAAGGACAGCGATGAGGAAGGAAAGAGGGTAGAGAGCAGAATTATGTGAGCCTGTAAGAATAAGGCAGTTTACAAGGGTGTGGAGAGTAATGGTCCAAGGTGGCATTAGAGAGTGAGGAGGACAAAGACTAAATCTTCAATAATAAACCCTTACTTGAAATGGCTGTTAAAATGCTGTGTCCTGAGGAAAGAACTATATTTTCAATTTTCCAGGGATATAGGGATTATTCAGCAAAAAAAGAAGTTTAGGATGTAGAGTAGTTTGTAAATCATGGGATGGCATCCCAGAAATTGTGAAAGTGCAGAAGGTAATTTATCATAAGGAAACAATTTTGGATGTGTGCAAAAACTAGGCACAGGGATGTTCATTATTATAGTATTATGTACACTGTGTGTCAGTTTTACCAAGTTTGAAAAATAAAAAAAATAGAACAGATTTCAATTAAAGATAATCTATCATGACATTTTCCCGTAAAAAATACTTAACCATAGGTAAAACAGATATGTTTGTGTCTTGTTAAGTCTTATTTAAAAAAATATGATAAAAAAGAAAATATGAATGTGTGTATATATATATATATAATATGTGTGTATATGTTCTGATAAAACTGTAATTGTATTTTTAAACTTGGAATTATGCTACTTCAGAGATACTAATTACTCTTATTCATTTTAGGGGCCATCTGTCTTCTCATTTTTTTGTATCTAGTTCTAGTCCTACATTGACAGTGCTGAACTCTTACACCTGAAGGCACTTACAGAAGATGCGGGAAGCCTCTCATTTAAATAAGTTTGATTTCCACATTAAAATCATTAGGTCCTGTGTTTCTACATTTATATGTTTTCACTTGACAGAGTCCTTTTATGCCTATTGTTATAAAACCCAAACTTGATTTTAACAATCAATATGGGAAATAACTTAAAATCCACTGATAGGTGTTATTACATGTGAGGGGTGGGAGATGGGGTGAAATGGGTATAGATGGTTAAAAGGTGAAAATTTCCAGTTATAAAATAAATAAGTCATGAGGATGTAATGTACAGCATAGTGATTATAGTTTATAATACTGTGTCGTGTGTTTGAAAGTTGCTAAGAGAGTAGATCTTAAAATTTCTCATCACAAGAAAAAAAATTGTAACTATGCATGGTGACGGATGTTAACTAGACTTATTGTGGTGATCGTTTTACAATATATACTAATATCAAGTCATTATGTTGTACACCTGAAACTAATATAATGTTATATGTCCATTATGTCTCAATTTAAAAAAGAGACTCTAATATTTCTGTGTGAGGTAAAGAGAAAGGTAAAATTATTCAGAACCTCATTGTAGGTATGCGATAATCCAAGGAATCTATTTAATAATTACTCATTTTTAGGAAAGAATTCAAGGACTAAATATTATAAAGTTATTTACATCCATTTATATTGCTGTATCTAAATACAGAGTGGCTTTCTAGAAAAGTTAACAAAATATTTCTGTGTTAAAAGGAGTCTTTAAAAGCGGTATGAAATTTGGTTAAGTCAAATGGAGACGATCCAGCCAGCAGCTGATGACTTGTTAGTTGGAAATTAGTTAGTGCAAAATAAATTTGAAGAAAAATTAAACAGTTCAACTAACATATTATGTGTCAAGCATTCTACTAGGTACTGGCATGTACAACAAAGAATAAGGTATATTTTCTTCACATTACTCACTGGTGACAAAAACTAATAAATAAAGGTTTGTCTATTCTGAATGGAGAAAACCCTCTGAGACTTAATTACACTGAAGCATGGATTATCAATGGGAAGAGTAGGAATAGCTTTTCAACAATACCTCCCCCATCCATCCCACCACCCTCATCCCTTGCTATTCCTATGATCCACAAAGCCAAGGAAAGTCAAAGCAATATAGCAAAAATCTATAAAGTAGACATACTGATTTATCTGAATAGGGAATGGGACCATAGCATATTTAAGGATTTTGGACCTGGAGGGGAAAATTTTGAAAATGGAAAGTAATAGGAATGGAGAAGTCTAGATGGTTTCTTGGTCTATTGACCAGATGTAGGTCTTTTGCTTTTCCCAGATTTTTGCTTCAGTCCATTTTTCCTCTCTCTCTCCCTTTATGTCACTTTCATTTCTCTCTTTACTGTTCTGGTAGGTTTCTTTTGCCTTTAACCAGCTATGATACATAATTGATATTTACATAGCCTTAAAGAAACTGAATTAAAACTGTATGTTTATTCATCCCTATGCCTCCGATGCCCAAAATGGAGATTTGGTATGTACTTCTCAAGTAAATACACGACTATTAAAGATATTGAACAGCAAAGAAAATTGGATTAATTGAATTATCTTTATGGATATGGAATCACCATTTTTTTCCCTATAGAATGGAAATACTTTTAAGTAAAAATAAGAATAATATTAATAATGATAATCATCCTGTTTCTATTACATTCCGTTTAAAAAGTAATCCTAATGTGTGCCAGTTCTAGAAATAAGATCAGTGTGTGTGAAGAGTTGTTTTTGTTTGTTTATTTTGTTTTTTCTTTTAACAACCTAAACCTTAATTTGTGTCTCTAAGGTGAGCAAGTAAAAAGGGGACCATTTTGAACAATTGTAAAGAGTTAAATCTGTTGGGAGAATTGTGGTCCAGAAATCCACGTGTTTGAGTTTTATACACGATGGCCAATTATTACCAATGAAGAAAAGATTTCATTTGAATGAAGTTGAAACTCTGGTTAAACATCATTAGAAAAGACATTTGTAATTCCCTCATTATCTTGAATAATTTGTGCTAATTGACATCATATTTGTACATGAAGAATTAATATTCAAAATGTAGAAAAAAATGCAAAATGGATCAGACAGGAGAGTGGGGGCTAAAAAGCATTTAAGATTTATTTTCTATAGACTTCCTTCCAAATTTATTAAAATATAAAAATCTTAGGATTATTTATTTGCTTCTCACTTTTTATATTATTATGTACAAATTGTGCTTATATTCCTCTTTAAACTTTTATGCTAAAAGGCAAAGAATTTCTCAAAGAATATTTAGATTCTTATTTATTTTTTTGAGCTTTAATTATATTTTTCAATTTTAGGATGGGGTTAAAATACAATACTTCCTATACAACTTGTATATTTCCTCTATCTTCAATGTATCAATCAAATGCATAATTTAGAAAGATCACAAATAGCATTAGATATTCTAAACTCTGGACTCAGGGTTAGAAAACACTTTCTTCCTTACCCCATCCTTCCAATCCTACAAACTTAAACAATTTTACCACAGGCTTTCTGTTTTTCCTCCCTCTCTCTGTGGTTACCTCATTTCACATTAAACTTTCCAATTAAGATCCAACCTGTTGAACTTTTCAAATCCTTAATATAAAATTGTTAGCATGGTTTCCTGAAATAAAAAGTATGAACATTACTATGCTATTATTTCCTCTGGCAACAGTAGAGAGAAAAAAAAAAAAAAGAAAACTATTGAATTCCCAATTTAGAATAATTTCCTGAATTGGAAACCACAATCTAAAGCAAATCTTTCAAACATGAAATAAAATTAAACTTACTGATACATCATACACTGTTGGGAATGCCAACTTCACCTCCGTGCTGCTGTCTGACTTCTCGTCAACTGAGTAGCATCCTGGGCATTCTTTCAGACTTGTAAGCTGACTAAAGAAAGAATGTGTAAGGATTTAAAATAAACTAGTTTAACAAGTTGGGATGGGTAAACTTTAACCAATAGTATGGTTTGAGGTGAAGAATCACTTGATAAGTCTTTGTTGCAGGAAGTAAGAATTTCCTGGTTCTGGCTAATTAAAATTAAATGAAAAATAACATCGCATCCAAAACCTAAGCGACACCCTTCAATACTTGAAGTTTTTTATTTGTCTTTCAAGAGGTGGCACTCTTCATTCTGAGTCAGTACAAATCTGGTCTTCAGGCCCTGTCATTCATCTCTTTCAGATGCAAGCATGAAACAAGATCAGAGGTTTTCATAAAATGTTCACTAGTCTTTGACCTGCCTTTCTTAGTACAATGGTACATGTACCCATTATGTCTGGCCCAGAAATTCATTTGCGTCTACTCTAAAGGGTAATCCAGCTTTAAGGTGGGAAAATGGAAATATATTTGTGTCAAATGCCAACGTAAAGGGCTTTACCTGCCAATTGTCTCCTCTCCATGTGCTCTCCTTTGTAGCTACAACGGCATCTATGTTATTTGATTTGGAGGTATCTTTTCTGTTGACCCAATCTCTTTGTTCCCATTGTGTCTTGGCCCACATACCTAAAATACTGTTTCCCTTCTTTGTAGTACAGCTCTCAATTCAAAATCCACCTCACTATAAGATTCAAGTCATTTGATTAGAATCTGTCTACACAGGGTCTGGAGACTCTGAAAGCCTATACTCTAAGGTAACTCCTCCAGCATGTTGTTTCCCCAGCTCTCACACTATCTGGACAACCCTTGACCCACACTTTCCCTTCAAGTAGTTATCTAGTTTTAGTTTTGCTTATTTTCAGGTTTGTAGACCCATATCTCCTGTTAGATAGTGAAAGATCTGAGGCCAGAAACTGTGATGTCTTTGAATGAATGCACTTGCCAGCACCTCTGCAAACACTTTGACATTCAATACTTACTGAGTCTTTCTTTTAGCCGATTTGACAATCAACATTCACATTCATATTTCAATCCTTCTTTCGTTTTGAAAAAAAGTTTTTGGCAAAACAGGAACATGTGATATTTACAATAAATGAACATATGGAAAAATGTTCAAATTAACTAATAAATAAAAATTCTATACCTTTGTCAATTTTTTATTAATGTGTAACAAATTACTACAAACTTAGCCACTTAAAACAACAGGCACTTATTATCTATTTTTATTCTGTAGGTCAGAAGTCCAGGCAAGCTCAGCTTTATTCTCTGCTTAGCGTCTCAAAGGATGAAAACAAGGTGTTGGCTCAGCTGGGTTCCTATCTGGGGGCTGTGGTAAGAAATCACTTCCCAGCCCATTCAGGCTGTTGGCAGAATTAAGTTCCTTGCAGAAAGACTAAGGTCCCTATTTCTTTACTGCTTGTGGGCCTGGACTGCCCTCAGTTTCTAGAGGCTACCTGCATTCCTTGATGCATGGTCCCCTCCAGATAAACCACTAACAGTGCATCTTCTCACACTTGAAATCTCTTTGAGTTTTCTGCTATCAGGAAGAGAAAATTCTCTACTTCTAAAGGATTATATTAGACCCACCTGAAAAATCTCCTTTTCGATTAACCCAAAGTAAACAGATCAGTAATCTTAATCATATCTACAAAGTTCCTTTTGCCGTGTAATGTAACAACACAATCGTGGGTATGATATTTCGTCATATTCACATTGAGATTAGGGCAGATCTTGGAGAACCATTTTAGAATTCTGCTTAGAAAGTGTTTTGTTCTATCTTTTAAGGCATATGTTTAATAATATTAGTAGTTTTTAGTGAAAATTCAACATTCACATACCCCAGGGATATGGTCACTTGGTACAACAATTTCAGAAAGCAAACTTGTTAGAGTGATAAGGAGGAAGAGCTTCTATCCAAACGGATTCATTTGTGCCTGAGACAGCACAGTGTCGTTAGAGCACTACGAGTACTTTTAAAAAAACTGAAATGAAGAATGGCAAAAGGGAAGAAGTCAAGCTGGGAGGTTAATATGGAAACTAGAAAGAGGACAATCATGAAATTTTTGTGTATCATGAAAATGGATTTTGTCTTTACCCTATAGGTCAAAGCCTCTTACTTTCTTTTTGTACCATGTTCTTGGTCATCTTTGGCTGTCTAGTGAAGACTACAGACCCTTTCTCATAATAATATTTTTAGGTGCATAAAATAGAATACATGGAATTATGCAGAAACTAATATATGGCAATATAGTTATCAAAATATTTTTTAAATTTGTGATTATAGTAATAAATAGCTTCTCTATTACCATATTAAATAACAGGATATAGCAATGAGTCTAACAACTTATAATTTCAAAGTTTTGATGAGTATAAATATATTTTGATATATATGTAACAACTGTTAAATGAAATAAAAGTATCTATGATTTCTCTTGATGACAAAGTCACTGATACAGCTTATGTTACTGATTTTTTGTGTATGCCTATTTTATAATGGAAAGAAATAGTAAATTTCTGTTAAAAGTTAGTGAAAATAAAGATAAATTTTTTGCATAACCAAGTTGTTGAGATAAATTTTTTGCATAACCAAGTTGTTGAGCTCTAGATTAAATATCTCTTCTGCAGGAGGTGGAGAAATTAGAGGTATTTGAAACAGAGGTGCAGGAGAATGGACTAGAAGACATCAAGCTTGGAGAAGGGAGATCAATTTGAGGTTCTTCCAATGTCCAGACAGGAAATAATAGGAGAGTAATAGAACTTGGTCATTTGGATTTATGAGTTCAAAGAATCGAAGCTAGGTGTGGGTCATCCACTTGGATGTTGAATTGACCACAATAAAGACAGGAATTAGGTAGAGAGGTCTATTTTGAGCTAAGTGCCTAGTACCTCAGTAAATGTGGGAGTGGTCAAGAGGTTGGCAGTAATTAGGAAGAGCAATGTGTGGTATAGCTAAAAGCATGAGCCTATACACTAAAAATAACATATATTTTTGTACTAGTGTGAAGCAGTAATTGTTGGGAGACTACACATGTATTTGGAAGCTTTTAGTTGGGAGTTGGAAGAATTCTGACTCTGAATTAGACCCAGAGAGAAAGAGCAACCACTTGGAAGGGCTACAATAATGGGATGTTTTAGAAAGGGAGATCCAGCCTTTAAGAAGATTATGAGAAAGCATTCTGTGAAGAAGATGAAGGTATAGGAACATTTAAATAAAAAGAATCAAGGAGGACTCACTGGAACCAGCTAAGAAAGAGGGTAGTAGAGAAATGTTAAACCAGTGAGGAAGACAAAGAGCAGTATGGAGAGAAGGAGAAGAAACCACAGGCATTATGGGAAAGAAGCAAAGTGGAGGAAAGCATAGGTAATCACAGTCTTCATTTGGTGCAGTGCCAGAGGATTAATGGAACAAGGAAAGGGAGGATGCTATACTTTACAGTTCATGACCCCGGTAATAAATTTAGTTGATAATAGACTAGCCTAACGTTCTGGGCAAGGTCTATGTATGCAACTATTTGATGTAGCAACTCAAAGGTAGCTATTAAAAATGACGATTATACCCAAACATGTGGTCATCGAAAAATATATAATATAATCTCAAGCGGAGAAATACATAATTTTATATACGCTATTATATATCAACTTTGTAAAATATATGTATGCATATATACAAAGATTGGAAGATAAACAAATAAAATAGTTGTGATAAGTTGATACAATTGTGTGCCCTCTCCCTCTTAAAAAGTATTCGTTATAATGTTCCTGTAGTTTTTTAAAAAAAGGAGGATAAATCAATCATTTTCTTTACTTTAAAAAAATGTTTTTATTCTGTGGTCCAACTATTTTTTTTTATGAAACATTAATCAAGTTGTTGTGGGTTAATATTTGTCTTTCCAATGGCTTCTTTTTTACTTTCAGATTCCGTTTATTTCTCCTGTCCACTTTTAAATTCTGTTCTTCATAGGGCACCTCAGCCTATTCATTCAATTTTCTAATCCTCTTTCCCGAAGGATTATCACCTGTAGGACAAACACTAGTGGATTTAAAAAATTATCCCAAGAATTCAGTCATCTCCACCTAGATCTAAACAGGAAGATACAGGTTTGAGGTTCACCAGAAGGTCCTTCTGTTGAATACAGACAAAGGGTAGTTATTAAAACCATTAGGAAGGCAATCATATGCTTTTACGAAATTTCTCCTTCTGGAAATATTTAAAAGGAAGGCATCTGAACATCCTTTATGGAGAATACCTAAGTTTGGGAGTGGAAAGAAAAGGAGGATCTAACAGGATGGTCTTTTTATCTATGACTACATTTTTAAATAAAAGTTGGGACACAGGGCCGGCTCCGTGGCTTAGCGGTTAAGTGCGCGCTCTCTGATGCTGGCGGCCCGGGTTCGGATCCCGGGCGCGCCCCAAGGCGCCACTTCTCCGTCCAGCGCGAGGCCGGGTCCCACGTACAGCAACTAGAAGGATGTGAACCTATGACATACAACTATCTGCTGGGGCTTTGGGGGGAAAAAATGAATAAATAAAATCTTTAAAAAAGAAAAAAAGTTGGGACACAGATTCTGACAATGGAACAAAATGTATAAAAATAGAACTTCACAGGAAATCTATGATATCTGGTTAGCTTACTCACTATTGCATAGCTCTGTGACTTAAGTTAAAGAACCTTTAACAATTCAGAATATAGACTAAAATATTACTAAGCAGAGTCTTTAAAATATACTTTGTTAAATGCTGACTTTGGACTGCTTTTGATATTTTTCACTGGCAGCTACATAATAGCTTTAAAAGTGTTTCCAGTAGATTGATTATAGAGTTCTCCAACATGTTACAGTAAAATATGCTTTAAATAAAATTAATTTGGGTTATATTCATTCTTAAAGCCATCAAGTGAACAACAATTAACTTGATTTGCCTGCTATTTTTCTTTTTGCAATAAATTAATATTAACCACATGAGCTATATTA